CTCACTCCTGCACATTTCCTTATTGGACGGTCTCTAGTTATGATGCCTCATACACAGATTGCCAATGTCAGTGTCTCCAGTCTCCAGTGTTTCCGTCGCATTGACTACCTAAAGCAACATTTTTGGAATCGCTTTTCTCATGAATACGTTATATGGCTTCAGGAAAAAATAAAATGATGCCACTCCACGGGTACGCTTAGCGAGGGGTCCATGGTTCTTATTAAGAACAAGGCGACTCCTCCCCTTATGTGGCCTTTGAGACGAGTCTTGCGCTTGTTGCCGGGCACGGACGGCATCTCTCGGGTTGCCGACATTCTCACACGCAAAGGAGTCGTCCGTATAGCATTCAACACCATTGTCCCGTTACCAACAGCTACGGTTGAAGACGTTTCAACGGGGGAAGTATGTTCAGATTACTGAACGATATTGAGAAGCCGTAAAACCGGTTTGCTGGCGGCCGCGATCGGCTTGGAGTGGAGCGGGTGTAAGCGAACGGACCTGGCACCGACAGTACGCGTGTACGCTCATATAATATTTTAATTTAAATCTACTGTAACGTTTAGTTCCCCATTATATCAGTTTTTATATAAATTTGCAGTCATTTTATTTAGTACTACAACATCGAGAACAAACAGTTGTCTTTTGCACAGCATCATCAGTTGTCGTATTGGGTATACTGGGTGGGTGGGTGAGTCATTCGTTTTAAATACTTCATCCCTTGATAATCACTAATTATGCTATTTCTTTTTAACCAAACCTCTTCATTGCTGATATTCAAAATTCTTACTGTGGCTATTTTATTGGTTACCAGTAAGGTTGTAGCTATAATTCACTTTAGGTGTTGTCCCACGTTTTCTGCAGTGACACACAACCCATTCTTAAAGTTAAGTGGGAATTTTTCCATTACTAGATTTCCTGATCTTGGTGCAAACGTAATACTCTTTAAATAGTAAAGTTTGCAAGGGCTAGATCGTTCTAGAAACATTTCTTGACCAGGAAATTTTAGAACTCCCTGATCGATGTTTACAATACACTGTTGGTTCTTTAAGAAATCCATTCCCAAAATGCAGTCATCAGTAATATTGGCAATCAACGCGGGATTGACGTACATCTGTTCTCCAATCGTCATTTTGACGTCCGTATCGTCAAGAACAGGGACTGGCTGGCCAGTTGCCGTTCGTACCAGATATGGAGATTGCTGCTTCCACGATATAGTTCGTTTTAAGAGTTTTGGTCTCACAAATGTGCGCGATGCTCGTGTGTCATTTGGAAATCTGCAGACTTTTACATATAAAGTGTTCTCGATGATAACACTGTTCACTGGCTTGTGTAACGGTAATATGTAGTAGGGGCTCTCGTTTTCCCAGTCAGCGCCTGTCCCGTGGCTCTGGTGATATTTAGTTTAACTGCTTCCCCCAAATTGGGTCTCGAAGTTTGAGATCCTTTTCCCCATCTTGTCTAAGCAGTCAAGTCTGATGTGCTCTTTTTCACCGCACCCGTAACATATCAAACCGTAGCGATGCTTCTTTTCTTCCGATACCAGTTCCCTTCCGCCTCCACCTCCTCTTTAGGAATTGATGGTGACCTAGTCATACTGCTGCTCAAACCTTGATGTGCCGAATGGCGTCAACAAACGCCTAAAGTAGGATTACTTCTATAACAGACGGTGCTGACACATAGGCGCGACGAACAAGCTTCTTTATCCCCTTAGCCCAATCTTGCAGTGTCTCTGTATGCGCTTGAACGCAATCCAGTAAATGAGCTATATAAACGTGCGCCATAAGATTGTCGCCGTACCGCGTCTCTATGACTTCCAACAGAACACTCAAAGATCGTCCTTCTAAAGGCATCGAGAATAAGCTGAGCATCACCTCTTAGTGCTAAGGCTATGCTATGAATGCTTGCTTCTCACTGCAGCCCATGATGATGTACCATCAAGGCGTGGTAACTCACATTTGCCTAATGTCGCTGTAACGTGGACTGAGGTGTACACTGAATGATTTCAAATTGTTTTAAATCACCAGAGAGTGCCTGAATGCGGCAATCGGTGCTGTTGAGTCTCTCTTCAAGCGTTCCAATTTTAAAACTTTATTTGTTTCTTTTTTTACCATTTTCATCTTATCACCGAGCATTTGATGCCTTGTGTCTATCTGCTGGATGATACAGTTTTATAACTCTTGCTGCTGGATGATACAGTCTTGACGAGACGCTGCCAATTATTAATGAACTTTTTGCCGAGCGACTTTCTGTTCTGAATGAGCCGCTGCCAATCCCAGACAAACAGCTACCTGATTAGCCTGCAACTGGCCTTGAACGGCGGCCAATAACGCAACCATGTTCCCATCTAATGCTAACTCTGATGGTGTGATTGTTGTAGGAATGTGTTTGGAGTCAGTAGTATGGCCCCTTGACTCTTCCTGATCCTATTAGCAACATTCATCTCAGCTTGCCTCCTGGTGCTTGGAGTACGCTTTTCTTCTTCACGTGGCAGTATCGGCATTCCACTTCTGGCACCAATTATTACGTGCGGGGTGAGTAAAAATGACGATAAGGATGAAAAATTATGTATATTTCCACAAACACAGCCAGTTTATAATTACGTTGTCCAAAATCGCTAAGCTTCTTAGGTGAGGTCCTTAATAATCGCAGATGTTGTAGGTCGAATTCTCGTAGTCGTTTCCCGAAGTAGAGTTCACGTTTCCGAAATAATTAATTTTTCGATCGCCGACACACGTTTTCATAGTCGATAAAATAAATATGGAAATTTCTAGGCCAGTATGGATCATTCCATTCTTACTTTCAATAAGAATTACATGTATGTACAATCTCTAATTTATAAAAATTTATGTTTGTTTGTTTGCATTTTACGCGCTGCCATACCGTTCATCAGATTGCGGTAATACTTTGTTAACTTATTGTTTGCACTTGCACAAAGATTGTAGGTATAGTAGAATTAACTTACAATAGGTGGTGCGCGTATCGAACCGACTAAAAAGGGCAGAATATTGAAGATTTTTATAATTAATTTTTCTTCACCATTTGCATATATTACTTATTCTGAACTTTCAACACCGTATAGTGGGTTTAGGAGGAATGCATGGCTCTAGAAATATCCTCATACATTTTCTCCACCTCCTCATCGGGATGTGCCGAGGTTGATGCGTAAGTCTGTATGACCTTCAGCGAATAATACCGTTTGGTGATTCTGAGTATCAGGTACGCAGCCCTCGTCGACACACACCCAATCTTTACAACGTTGTTGACGAAAGACTTGTAGACGATAAATCCGACACCTCCTTGGGACAGATGATCGCCCTTCTATGGTGATAGAACAAGTTGCTGGATTCGAGGATAATCGTGTCCTCCCCTTCTCTTCTGAACTCAGATAATCCTATTATATATCAGTGCAACTTGTCAACCTCTTTTTCCAGCTCCAGGATCTTCTCGTCAGTCCTAAGGATAACCTTAGGGCTGACGAGAAGAGATAAATGTTGCCAGGTCGAGTCGTCTTATGTGGCGTCCGAACCTCCACCGGAGATTCTTAGCACCCCCTGCCCCGCCGTTACCATGGTCGCCACTGTAACCAGGAATAGCGGGGCGCCGGGAACTGAGGGCCGTTTGTTTGTGTCATTACTCATGGAGGGTTTGCCATAGTTGCTATGCTTAGCGAACGGGTGTGCAACCACAGTTTTTATTCTATAATTGCTGTTATCAGGAAGATGCTGCTGCCCATCTCCTGCCTGTCTCCCTCTTTTGCCTCTTACGACACCCAGGAAAGGCATGGGGTAGTGGATATTCTCAACCGCCACTACACGGCAACTATGAGAAAGCCTTTGATTCCGTCGAAATTTGGGTGGTGCTACAAATCTACAGCGGTGCCAAGTTGACTGGCGGTATCATAGTGCTGAAGTGTTTGTTCATTAGAGCTACGATAGCTATCCGAGTACAGAACCAGAGTACGAAACCTATTCAACTGCAGAGAGATGTAAGACGGGGTGACGTTATATCCCCGAAACTCTTCACCGCTGCATTGAAAGACGTTTTCAAGTTACTAGACTGGAAAAGATACGGTATTAACATCAATGGCGAGTACATCACTCATCACTCATTAGCCAACGATATAGTCCGTATGGCAGAATCGCTGGAGGACTTAAGCACTTGCTCAATGACCTCAATGGTGCCTCCCAACGGATAGGTCTTAAGATGAAGATGGACAAAACAAAGATCATGTGTAACGTCCACACGTCACACCTAAGCCGGTAGTTGTTGGGAGCACTAAGCTCCAAGTTGTTGACGAGTATGTTTACCTGGGACAAATAGTCCCACTAGGTAAGTCCAACTTCGGCCAAGAGATCAATTGAAGGATTCAACTCGTCTAGGCAACGTTCGAGAAATTATGACACATCATCTCGTCAGCTGTACCTCAAATCTGAAAACGAGACTGTATAACCAGTGCGTGTTGCTAGTGATGACTTATGGAACTGATACGTGGTGCTTCCAGAGTGAGCGACATAGCCCAACGAATTAGTAAGCTGAAGTGGCAATGGAAAGGCCATATAGCTCGAAGAACTGACAACTGATGAGGAAAAACGTTCTCGAGTGGCAGCCTCGTACCGGTAGGCGAAGTGTAGGATGACCCCCCACTTGATTGAGTGACGACCTAGTAAAACATGCAGCAAGTCGATCGATGCAGGTGGCTCAGGACCGTGCTTTGTGGTATTCCTTGGGGGAGGCCTATGTTCAGTAGTGGACTTGTGAAGGACTGTAATGATGATGATGATGATGACTTATTCTGAACCTTCTCTGTAAATTTGGCCGGTTATTGCAAAATTACCCGGAATATCATTCAACTTCAATTTATGTATTATCATTCCTAATTAAACTGTATAACCTCCAAATTTAAAACAATATTTACAAATTATTTCTTTTGCGACAGCAACGCGCCGGTCACCAGCTGGTATTTAATAAAAGAATGTTCTATTCTACTCTATTCACGTTACCGCCAACGTCTGACACTTTGCTTGACGCAGCTCCTCTCGTATAAACATCATCTCGGGACGAAGATCGCGGTGTGCAAGTGGGTCATTTTCTATCTTCAGGTGAGGATCGATGGTGGCCAGTTGTTTGTCGCTAGATAAACATACTTACATCGAAATTATATTATCTCAGTTGAATTAGGATATGACAGATCATTCCGTGTACAAAGCTGGTTTAAATACCAAGGCTGCGGTAGAATGACAGCGATATGCTTATACCGAACGGTCTTTACAATTTCATCGATACCATAAAACGTTTAATTCCTAAAAACGTTTTTAGAATGAGAGTGACAAAGACATCTACATCCGTCCTCGATTAAGAATCAAAATGCGTTGTCACCCATAAGGATTGATATGGAATGCCTCGTTACCAGTAAAATGGGTCTCAAGTTTTCTACACTCACTATACGAAACACAGTATTATTCCCCGGTTTCACGTTAGTATGGTTCTTCCGTAGTCAGGCCGAGCCAATCGTTCTAGAAGCACAATATAGCTGCATTGTGGCTCTGCCACGTGTAAAATAATTTATTTGTTAATATTTCTATCAAGAAACAAAATATGTCTGTATAAACTATGTTCGAATGCCAATTACCTTTGATTAATAATGGATAAATTAAAACTAATCATGGATTACGGAAGATTGTATATTACCATAACATTATAATAAGTGCCTACAAGATAGAAAAAATTTCAGCTTTAAATTCTAAAGTAAAAAAAGTAAAAATAAAGTAAAAAAATTGGGATCCCTAAGGAAAGGAAAGGAAGATATTAGTAGTATAGTTGTAGCACGAATGGGTCGGCTCGACCGGGGAAGGACCACGCTCTCACAGAATACCAGCGTGAAATAGTAGCTTAATGCTGCTGTATTTCGTATGGTGAGTGTAGAGAACCGGAGACCCTTTTTACTGGAAATGAGGCATTCCATCTCAGTCCTCACGGGTGACAACGCATCTGCATTTTGATTTGTAATGGAAGATAGATGTAGATGTCTATGGGCCGCAGCAACCACTTACCATCAGGTGGACTGTGTGCTCGTTTGTCACCCTATCCTATAAAAAAAAAAAAAAAAAAAAAGGAATTCCAATAATGTAAGCCAAGGTATCAAATATCGCCTATAAAAGTCATTAGGTGGCGAGCGCTACGAAAACTATTGGTGGTAGAATTAAATAATGTACTAGACATTTGTGTAACTTATTAATATCTACAAAAAAAACCTGTCAATTGTCATCTGTCAGTTGCACTTGCCACTGGTACTTGTCACTTCTCAAAATGTAAACCGGGCCCATTGAGCTATTATGTACTAGAGGCATAGATAAATAAATATGTAGCGAGCTAGACTAGTAGCTAGCTGACTAGAGGCGACACTGCATTCAGCTACTCTGTTCCACTCAACTGCGGTGCATACACCGCACTTTAATCAGTCATTTGCTAGGCGCTTGTAGAGTTGTCACGTGTTGTGTTGATTCAAAAAAAATCTCTTGATAAATATATGCCGTCGTGTGTACTTGGATATTGCACAAATAATTCAAGAAATGTCAGTAAAACCAAGGTATTACTTTTCATCGGTTAATAAGATACTTAATCAATAAAAAAGTATTATAAATAATTAATAAAACAAATTATTCCTAAGACGCCATCTTGTGTCATGTAATATAGATTATGAAATTAATTTGTTCAGATGCGACATTTCTGTGGGTACTTAACTATAGGACGAATATATTATTATACACATTTATTTGTAGAAACATATATGAGTTATCATAATTAGGCAAAATTTTTATATTTAAATCTGGTCATTATTCTTTTATATTATTTTTAGGTTTCCACATCAAAGTCCAAGTGGAATAAATTCGTCCATTTTTAACTCTCGCGTGCCCAGCATTTATGAACGACTCTTATTCTAATTTAAATAAATATATTTGTATTTTAAATTTTATATTAATAAGTTTTGTTAAATATACATTTAGTATGTTTTTTTATATTTGACATAGATACCTTTTAAAATATTCAGTTAATAAAAATATCATAAAAATGTAATTGTGATATAATATTATGTAATATTATATTAAATAAGCAAATATAATATTAAAAAATAAATGACAAAATTTGAAAATTGTTCGCGATATAATTTATCTATTTAACAATACAATCTGATATTACCTACGGATCGTTCTACCTATGTTTATTCTATGATAAAAAAACAACCGCGCGAACACAGAGTAGCGCACATGTTTAGTTTGAAATAGATGTTCTAGTACGTAAGTACATATTACTTCAATGACTGGGCCTAAATTTTATAATTGTATATTGACAATAACAGCTTTTTTATTCTAAAATTTAATTAATACACTAGTAGAAACGATAAATGATCACATTTTCATCATGGTATTAACCCTTATCCAGGTAGATATTTTCATAATCATGTTTTTTTTTTTGTTTAGATATAAATTGCTCTTTAAATTTATTCGAATCGGACTGTTCGTTTAGAAATTATCACTATTATAATATGTTAAATGTTAGGAGAGTGATGCGGTGTAACACCTTCTTTTCTTTCTTCTTTCTTATTTTTTTGTAAAAACTTTCATTGGTTAAGTATCCGTCTTTCCATATAATATACACTTTGATGTATCCTTACACTAATATATATAAGTAAGACATGCAAATATGTATTTTTACCTTAAACGAAGCGCATATTGTCACTTTCTATAAAAAATATTAAATTAAAATATGGCAAGTCTACCATGTTTTTTTTTTTGGTTACCAATGTCACATTAAAAGTTGGTTCCACCATTACAATATTGAGAAAATTTTAACCCCGTATGTGCAATGATACAGGACTTTTAACAAAAGAACTAAAATAATTATTTCAACCATCCTCTCAGAACCTGAAGCAGGATAGCTTGCGTATATTCCACGTATTTCTATGATACCGACAGACCTAAAGGTAAAGTAAAGTTACAGCCTATATACGTCCCACTGCTGGGCACAGGCCTCCCCTCATTTCTGAGAGGGTTTTAGGGCAAGGGAGTGTCCGCCGCGCTGCCCCAATGCGTGTTGGCGAACTTCACATGTTTTCGAAATATTTTTTTTCTTGTTCCTCAGACATGCAGGTTTCCTCACGATGTTTTCCTTCACCGCTGAGCACGTGGTAAATCAGCACTTAAAATTGCAATTAACAATTTCATTGGTGCCGGCGGGGATATAACCCGGGTTACTCGCGTTCTGTTATTATTTACTGCGAGCGTTAACCATCTGAGCTACCACGTTTCTCCTACCACGAAAAATATACTTAATAAATAATATAATAACGCAGAATAAATAACTGTATATCTATTCCGGTCGGTTTGCCTTGAGTGGGATCTTTTGAAATTCAATACATTCTGCTACAAATTTAACATAGGAAATCCGCGACTTAAGCCAATCTAAATTTAGGAATCACTAGCGCATCATCTCGACCGCAACCAGTTCTACAGGATACAGTCAGAGATGTTCTCAAGAAGGGTTAAAATATAAGTATCATTGACAAGGACGTGTGCGACTTGCGAGGCCTAAAGTTGTATATCGTCCGTATCACCTTTTGCAAAATGAATTTTGTTACCAACAACCTGATTCAAGGTCTCCAATAAGCTAACTACACTAATTTAGATGCTAGTTCATCAGTTGGTCTAATCCTTCTAATACTAAAGGTAAAAGAACTTTAATTTGTAAAATTGTTTGTCATAGGAATAATATTTCGAACTTTAATTATTACAATTTACTTATTTAGCTAAGACTACACAAAATATCAAAAACGAATAATAGATCAATTACGGGGTGCGCGCTTTACAGGAGTGTCTATACGCGCAATCCTCTTATCCCCCGCCACTTTAGGTTGTAGCAAAGCTTTTCTCGAAACTACAGGTTTCCTCTCTAAATGCGGCCTTAACGACTCTACATCTTCCTTATATTAATAATGTTCTGTGCTGCCTGCTCTCAAATTATACTACTTATAAATGATGATTCTGATTCTCTGATCTCTAATTCATCATCTCTAATTCATCGAAGATCATAAGTAATCTCAGATTACTATTACTCCTAGGCAGGCAGTGCCAGTTGTCATTTAACAAAGGCCTTTTGTGTTTGCGTATATGCTATGTTCAAACAACAATAATTCTTAAAGTAATAAAGATACAGCTGTAAACTTTATGTTGTATTGTAGCTTAACTCAAAATCTGTCGATCTAGTATAAAAATAAGAAGGGTGAATGGGGTTGTTTTTGCAGTAATTTACAATAATTTGCCGATTAGCATATTTTTTTGATATTCACTTGAAGTTACATTTTTTTTCTTCAAAGTTACAAGTATGTCAACAAAAATTTTGATAATGTAAACGATAAACAATATTATTGGCCTCCGAATGAGTTAATTTTTACCTCAGTAAGACTAAAAATTTTCAGAGATATGACTTTTTTCGTAAACGCGTAGAGAATATCTCAAGAGAAAAACAAAATGGCTGCCAAATAGAGGGGGAGGGGATTAGACCTCAGTGTGTAGTGTATTTTTATATTAAAATAGCTGTATTATAAGTACCTAAAATATCGCTAGTCCGTGACCGGACACACTGATATATATATATATATATATATATATATATATATATATATATATATAAAAAAATTATATATTATAGAGCGGACATTAGGAACATTTGCATATAAGGTAAAATCTGTTTTAGGCACGTCGTCAATCACTAACATATTTGTAAATAAATAGTGATGTTACTGGATAACAGAGGGCACTTATTACAATAACTTTTCTCTCTTCTAGAACAATGTACCAGAAATAATAAAATTTAGAGATTATTTGGTAAATATACATTACTCTTTGGGGGATAAGTCGCTCGTGTCCGTAGGCTTTGACCACCTATTCCTAGGCCCACCCTACACGTGTCCCCCGGGTGGTGCTAAATGAGCGACAAGCCGATACCACAGACTCGGCTCCACGCCGTGGTAACGGCGTAAAATATACTACCCCATATTTCGCACCATGAGGAACCATATAAAAGAAATGGCCCCGAGTTCCCGGCGCCCCTTTAATGGGGCAGGGGTGCGAAGAATCTCCGGGAGGAAAACCGGCGACGAGGTTCGCCACCCGTCACGTTCTGTCTCCCGGAGAGGCGAAAAGTGGATTGCAGAGGCCCGTCTTGCTACGTTGAATGTATGTGGGGCAATGAATGATAAAATGAATGAAGTATGCAATATGATGTATGATAAAGGAATAGATGTGTTATGTGTAAATGAGACGAAAAGGAAGGGGAAGGATGTCACTTTCTTTGAAGGAACACATGGCATGTATACCGCATACTGGTCTGGTGTAGACGAGATCGAGCGGGCATGCCAGGGAGTAGGTATCATCCTTTCAGAAAGAATGGGCCAATGTGTGAAAGAGTATGAATGTGTAAGCCCAAGACTGCTATGGATAAGAATGAAAGTGGGCTTAAAGAAGTTGTTTGTGATAGGGGTCTACGCCCCAGACATGTCTAAGCTCACTCATATCCGAGAGCAGTTTTGGGAAATGGTAAGGATGGTGTTAATGAAGTGTAAGGGAAATGAAAATATTATTATGCTAGGAGATTTTAATGGAAGGGTTGGGGTGAGGAGGCTTGGTTATGAAAGGATATTGGGAACGTTTGGTGATGAAAGTATAAATGAGAATGGTGAAAGTCTCCTCACCGTATGTATGGAAAAGAATCTTTTTGTGACGAACACTTGCTTTCGCCACAAGAGGATTCACATGTATACTTGGGAAAGAGGTGACGATAGAAGCATGATAGATTTTATAATTGTGGATGAAAGATTGAGGGGCGCAGTGGTAGATACAAGGGTTTACCGGGTTCTAACGTAGGAACGGATTATTATTTGGTTTTATGCCGAATTAATGGTCTATTAAGGCGCTGGCGCCATCGATCATCTGTGTCTACCACTGCGTTACAGCGTATTAGAACAGAAAGGTTACAAGATGAAGGTGAGAAAACAAGTCCAAATGTAGACTGAAAGAAAATATAAGTGGTTTGGATGAATTATGGATGAAGGAGTTAGACTTGGAGAATGTGTGGCAAAATATTAAGAAAGGTTTAGTGGATGCAGCTACCGAAGTATGTGGTGTTAGTAAGAGAAAGAATGCAAGGAAAAATAATACGTTATGGTGGGATGATGAGAAGATACGTATGGAAGTTGAAGCAAAGAAGAGAGCATGGCTAGATTTACTAGCAACAAAGGCTGGTAATTCTAGCGGTACGAATAATGATATTGAAAGAAAAAGGCAGTCTTTAGACATCTTAATAAGAGAGTAAAAGAAGTAGTTGAAAGAAAAAAGCAAGAAAGAACGGATAAGAATGATAGAAGAATATCGGATAACTTCCAGGCAAATATTAAAATGTTCTGGAAACTTGTAAGAACTACCAGGGGACAAAACAGCCTATAATGAATGCTATAAGAGACGAGAATGGCTATATTCTGAATGATGAAGTTTTGAGTTTAAAGAGATGGAAGGAATATTTTGAAAGCGTGTTTATGAGTGAGGAGACAACATGTGTACTAAGTGTAGTAGAAATTCTGAAAGAAGAGGAAAGAGGTAGCGAGATAAGTATAGATGAAATAATGAAAGCAATGAAAAGCATGAAAGCAGGTAATGCTGCCGGATATGATAGAGTGTCACTCGAAATGCTAAGGGCTGGAGAGGAAGTAGTGGCAGGCCTGCTGCACACCTTGTTTAATTTATGCTGGGAACTGAAGCGGGTACCGGTAGACTGGTGCAAAGCCGTGATAGTCCCAGTATATAAAGGAAAAGGATTGCAACAAGACTGTAAAAACTACCGTGGCATCAGCCTTCTTAGCATTGTGGGAAAACTGTATGCTAAGGTACTGATTGAAAAGGTCATGAAAGAAACTGATGAAAAAATTTGATGTGCAAGCGGGATTTAGAAAGGGAATGGGATGTACAGATCAAGTCTTTTCCATGCGCATGATCGCGGAGAAGTTTTTGGCCAAAAACCAAAAGGTTTTTGTGCGTTCATGGACTTAGAAAAGGCCTATGACAGAGTGGATAGGGATGTGCTATGGCAAACACTAAACTCATTTGGGTTGAGCGCTGGCTTGATACAGGCATTGGAGTCTCTTTATAGGGACTCTAGTGCTTGTGTTAGGATCAACGGGTCTACTCGGACTGGTTTGACATCCATAAAGGTGTCAGACAGGGCTGTGTGGCTGTTCAACCTATATATGGACAGTTGTTTGCAAAATTTGAAAGTTGAAGAATGCGGTTTAAGAATGGGTGAGTTAACCGTCAAATGCCTTTTGTACGCCGATGATCAAGTTATCCTTGCATCGTCGGCGGCCGAGTTGCAAATGATGGTTACATTAATGAACAGATCATTAAAAGAAAGGGGTATGAAAGTGAACGCAAGTAAGACGAAGGTTATGGTTTTTCAAAGAGAAGAAAGTAAAATGATTTGTGAAATAAGAATAGAAGGGGAGTTGATCGAGCAAGTAGATGAGTTTGTATATTTGGGCTGCGTATTTAGCAGGGATGGGAGATATGATAAGGATATAGAACGACGAGTGAATGCGGGAAATAGAGTAAATGGGGCCCTGCACTTTATTGTGAAGAGCCAAAATGTGTCAAAAAAGGCACGTATAGCAATTCACAATGCTGTGTTGGTCCCTACTTTAACGTATGGTAGTGAAAGTTGGGTGTGGCAGAAGAAGCACGAGAGTAGAATCAACGCAGTAGAAATGCGGTCGTTAAGGAGTATGTTAGGGCTGAATCTGAACGACAGGATAAGAAATTGTGTAATAAGAGAAGAGTGTGGTTTGCAAGATGATGTTGTGACCAGGATTAAGAAAGGAATGCTTCGGTGGTTTGGTCATGTGGAAAGAATGAATGAGGAAAGAGTGACAAAGGAAATTTATGTTGCAGAAGTGAATGGCAGAGTCGGAAAGGGACGTCCTAGGCGAAAATTTATCGACCAAATTGGCGATTTATTGAAAACGGGCCGAATTAGGAGTACCCTTAACCGACGAGCATGTATGCGTAGGTGTATGGATGTGAAGGAGGCGAGAGAGGTGTGTCAGGATCGTGCCAAATGGAAGTCTGTAGTCTATGCCTACCCCTCTGGGTGACAGGCGTGAGTGTTTATGTATTATGTCTTAGGATAATAAACCGAAATCATGTTCATTTTTGCTCCATATCGTGACTTACTATACCTTAATGTACAACCGGGCATATTTTCTTTAAAAATATTTTTTAAATATATGAAACGATTGCGTCTTGACCTTTCGGTCAGTTTCGGTCAGAAAAATCGGAGATATATTCTATAGGACAAAAGTTACAGACGACAATTTTGTTGCTGATGCCCGGTCTATTGGGGTAAACGAGTAATGTGTGGACCTAGTATTGCCGATATTGCATTGTATTTTATTTTACCAAATTCCTCTTAGTAGTCTGGGTATTTTACACCTTAACATAGTAAAGAAACAACAACAACAAATAACTCACAAATTAGCACCAATATCAGCTTCTAAAATGCCGGCTTCTTGCAAGTTTTCTGCTTCAACAACGTTTCCTTTGCCATTATCAGACATTATGTATATTTAAAGTTGTTTTCTATTAAAAATCAGCTAATTAACATTTATAATATAATGTTATTATCGATGCAATTATGGTTCTTGTTTGACAAACTGTAACGACCAAAGAGTATATAATTAACGACTTTTATTTAAATTTACTAGCCAATATCACATAAAGCAAGAGATCGACACCTAATTCACATTTTCCATTCTTTGTAGGACTAGATCAATGGCCATTCTATTCTCTTCTGTCCAGCGGGTAGTCTGGCAAATGGCTCTAGCTCTAGGGAAAAGCGCAAGGCACGATGTTCCCCAGGCAAGTTTCAGGAGTCCTTCCTTCACGTGATTGCCAATCGTTGTTTAATACAGGAGACAAAAAAAAATAAACAGTCGTGACAGAATAAGAAAGTGAAGTAAACACGCAGAACAGATACACTCGAACGATCTTTTCTCCCTTTACCATACACCCCTACATTTCCATCTTACCCTTGGATTGCTAAGGTTTCAGACGTACCCTGCCGATCGATGTGTGGCTAGAAGCTAGTCCATTTGCAATCGGTAAAACGGGTGTAAAAACTCCTTCACTACCTAGGAGTCTGTGTGTATAGCAATGCTTGCACTAGAAATTGTTAAGAAAATGTACACCCGTATATGTGTATATAACGTATACACCGTTACCGTTACAGTCTATTAAAGTTCACTGCTGAACATAGGCCTCCCCCATACATTGCCTCATAGGGATGGGGGGTATTTACCATAGTTGTCACGCTTGGAAAGTTGTCAACCACATTTTTTTTTAGTTTTAGTTGTTGTTGGGAATATTCTTCCCATGTCGCCTCACACGACACCCAAGGGATGATATGGAGTATAGTATGTGAGGGTAATATGGTCACTTTTATAACTCAAAAACTATAGTCTTTTCTGCACAGATGACTATGTGATACGATAGCTCTTCATCAGTCGGTCAAATATTAAAGGGTCAATAGCTATGGAGTATTACCTCTACACTCCATAATCAAAAGGGCTCTGCTTCATCGACTCCATTTTAGCAGTTGACTTTATAGTAAATATTTTAGTCGATTTTAGTATTGTAGTCTTGTTTAGGTTCAATTTTCGAAGTGTTCCTAATTATTGCCTAGCTTGTTTGCTATTTTTTTTTTCTTAATATTGTGGCGCGCCACAGTTGATGGCACTAGCGCCATCTGGTATCAAGTATTAGAAATAGGAGTGTCAAGATCTTTCTGGAACTCTCCCAACAGCGCCATCTAGTAACGAATAGAAGAATTAAGCTTTCAAGAAAAGTCCACTCTCGAGCTTTCTGCACTTAGTCGGTCGGGACCGGTATTTCCTGGAACATTCTGGATGTTTCGGTGGAAAAGGCGTATTTAAAGCCGCTGAGGGCCACGACCGGGGCAGTATTGAATTGCCGATACGAGCGAAGCTTTCGGAGTGAAATAAAGTGAACTAAAGTGTTAAGTGTGAATAATTTTAGTATGATTTAAGTTTTAATTGGTGTTCAGTAATTAAAGTGTCAATTTTGGTAATTCGATCGGCAGTTTTCCTGTCACGAACCCTAAGATCGTAAAAATATATTAGATATAGTGTACGACTTTTTGTTTTTGTCTCTGTCCTCCTCCTAGTTTTGGTTGCATAGGGCGGCAAAGCTTAAGGTGACCATATCATCGTCACGTACCTTAGTTGATATTCTTCCACTGCCACTACACTATAACGTATACACATATACACATATTTGTCCCGCGCAAAGCTAACCCTCCAGATGAGGTTATTGTGCTGGTAAGGGCTTAAAATGAAATGCTCAATACAGAGCCCTTCATTTTCCTGTATAAACTATTATTTGTAGAACTCGTCGACGGAAGACTATCCGAGCAGGGCCCGATATAAGGGGGGGGGGGGGGCAAGGCGGGCATTTGCCTAGAGTGGCAAAAAATAAGGGGCAGCAAAATTGACTTATTTCTATCTTCCAACCTAGCCATTAGCCATCCACCACCCAAATTGGCAGATTGAGAACTTTATGTGCCACCTTCCAACCTACTTCAGATTGGATAGTGGAAATATTTAAGTATTTTACTTAATATCCGCAAAAAGTACCGATACTTGAGTAGTATCGATACTTTCATTTCGATACTAAGTACATTTGGACACGATACTTTTGTTCCGATATATTTTAGGGATTGATACTTTTATAAGTCCTCGATACTTTTAACAAAATTTGAGTCACATCATTAGATTTAGGTCGTAAGAGTAGGGGATTACCCTTCTATAGACAATAGCTTATGCTTAGAGCGTGTGTTGCCAGTTTCTCGTCATTGGTACCTATTGAGTAGATTTATTTTTATCAATTAAATAAAAAATGATTTAATACAGTTTAATCGTGATTTACGTTTTTAGTGTTGCTCTAATTTATTTTTGTACCGACAATTTAATAGGTCGAAATTTAAATTTAGTTAATTTGATACCATTATTAAGTGTCTCATTGGAGATAAGCTCCGAACTCCAAATTCCGAAATTTCTCGGATAATATTTGATATTACGGATATTACTCAATCGAAAGTTTTAAAATAAATTGAAAAGTACTCGATACCTAATAATATCGATACTTTTGTTTCGATACTTTTCTCGGCATCGATAAATCTGATACGATACTGGTATCGACTAAAGTATCGATACTTTTGAAATTTTGTGGAATACTAGGAAGAAAAAACTTAAATAGGAAATAAGGAACGAGCTAGACTGAAACTCAGAAACTATAATACAAAAAAGTCAGTCTGATTCTTCGTTGTCTTTCAGTCTGTTTATGTTTGATGGGGATTTCCCTTAAACTTTCGAAGGAATACTCTTTTTCGACAATCCCTTAAATATCATATAAGCAAAACTTTACTATTACTATTTTTACTATTTTTCCATTGCTTATTTAGAAGACTCCTCGTAAAAATGTTCTGCCCTAGAGACGAATTTTTGTTATATTCGTGAATAATGTAGCGGTTAAAAAAGTTATACAGAATTAAAATGTTTTATCTATTTATGTGAAATATATGCTAAGTCTTCAAGTTGATTCTATTCCTAAATTTAAAAAGGACGTAATTTTTAATGGGGCAGATTAATCATATAAATATTGAAGCGCGCGTGTGAATTAACTACGTAACTATCTATCTGTTTTATAGACTAAATTGTAGTACGTAAAAATATACGTAATATTGAACACATCTTGCTAAAAAGTGTACTTACTTTTTGTTCCTTAAGGTAAATAGCCCTTACATCCCTGCCGAATACAATTGTGACGGTAGTTTGAAGCAAAATTTCCGTTAAATTAATAATATTACTTAGACGGGCCCAAGCTCGCACGATTGTGCCGGCTATCTACTTTGCATTGGTGTGAGTGAGACAAGTTGCGTACGAGCCGCTTTTCATGTTTCGACCCGTTCATTCTGACGATCATCGCCACCTGTGTCACGCCACGTGTTGGTAAGAATATTTTACTTATTTTTAAAGAAATCATAACAATTGTGGTATTATTTTATTACGTATTGATTACTTTACACAAAGCTGAATTAGTTGTGTCGTTGTTTTAGGTTTAATGTACGAAAAATTAAGTAAGAAATTTACCGTCACAATTGTTGCACGCCGGCCCCAATCAATAAAAAAAATACCATTTTGGCGGGAAACATGTCTCAGCTCGATGATGAGGATATTGAAAATTTACTGCAGCAATCTGACCTAGAGGATATAGGTGATGATGAGGACGACACATGGGCCCCGGATGCTGAAAATGACGGTTTATCTGATGATTCTGAGGACGACATGCCTCTGTCTTCACTGCCGATTTCTCGTGAATCTGATGATGGAAAATGGATTAAAAAGAAGTTCCGTGGTAGGCCTACCGCAGTCCAACAGCCTCCAGACCCAGGTGAGCCACCAAAATCGCCAGCAGAGTATTTTGAAAACTATTTTACTGAGGAATTATTTGAACAGTTTTCGACTGCCACTTCACAGTACTATATAGCTGAAAAGGGGTGTGCAATGAAGCCACAATGCTCGCCAGGTGAGATTAAAAAGTTTTTTGGGGTTCATGTTATGATGAGTCTTGTCAAATGTCCTAGGATGAAGATGTACTGGCATCAGAAATTTAAATACGATCCTATTGCCTCGGCGATGTCTCGTAATCGTTTTTTTTTATTACGAGTTAATCTGCATGTTGTTGATTATAATAGCGTTGATGAGGACGAAAAGGCCAGGAACCGTTATGTGGAAAATACAGCCTGTGATAGACGCTGCTAGAAATCGTTGCCTGGCATTGCCTCGAGAAAGCACTACATTCTCCATAGATGAGCAAATGATTCCTTTTACTGGCCGATGTCCTGACAAGCAATATGTGCCAAACAAACCTAGACCTGTAGGCTTAAAAAATTTTGTAATTACAAAACCACAGGGCCTAGTACTTGATTTTGAAATATATCAAGGTGCTACAACTGACTTGCCCGATAGGTCTTTTGGTTTGGGTCCCGCCGTAGTCTTGCGTTTAGCAAGGACTCTTCTTGGCGGAAGCTTATATTTTGATCGCTACTTCACGACGATCCCTTTGCTCAGAGAACTAAATGACAGGCACTTTGATGGAACCGGCACAATCATGGCTAATAGGTTCAAGAAAACTTTGTACACTTTTAAAAAAAGATTCTGCAATGAAGAGAGGTGAATGGGAAGAGATCGTAAGCCCGGATGGAAAACAAACTTTGTATGGTGAAATGGAAGGATACGAAGAGCGTGCTAATGATTTCATCAATACACGGTGGGGACCCAAGTAGCACTGTATCACGATGGGATAAAAAAACAAGAGCATATCAAAGCATACCATGCCCAAGCGTTGTACAAAATTACAATCAAAACATGGGTGGCGTGGATTTATGTGACCAGATGTTAGAAACTTATAGGACATGGTTCAAAACAAGGAAATGGTGTTTTAAGGTCATTATCCATCTTTTTGACCTTGCCATAGTAAATTCGTGGTTTGAGTACAGGGAAGATGCCAAACGAAACAATTTGCATAAGTCTAAGATCATGGATTTACTGAGCTTCTGTTTGTCCATTGTGGAATATTTATTGGGTGAACCAACCAGAAAACGAACCAGAGACGACTTGGAACTTGCTGAAATGCCAAGTACATCTGAGTACAGACCAGCTCCTATGCCGACAGTTGACAAACGCTATGATGGCTATAACCATTGGCCCATATTCGACACATTTCCAGCTCCTAGAAAATGCAGGTTATCTAACTGCTCCAGTCGATCCCGTGCTCGTTGTTCTAAATGCGACGTGTATTTGTGCTTAACTAAAGACAAGAATTGTTTTTTTTTTTATTTTCATAATAATATCTAAAACTACTTTGTTCAATAATCGCCTAATTAAATGGATCTCATGTTTGAATACAATTTTCTTTAAATGTATAAGACTGTTAAAATAGTTATGTTAACTTTTATGATTGATGATTGTCCTAAGTTCCTATTATTTTACTAAGACTTTAAATAAACGAAATTTCAAATTTCCACATTTTTATTTCATCTATAACAATAGATAAATATATTATAACACACAAGAATCTCTAATCGTAGTCGTCTGTCTCTAACTGTACTCACGAACAGTATGGCCCCAGTTGAAACAATTGTGACCCTCACAATTGTGACGCAGTAACACTAGGGCCCAGGTAAACACAATTGTACGCCACCTGAAAAACACTGAAAGAAGCCTTATATCACTGTAAACAGGTCATACCAGTCTTCACTATACCTCGAAGACTTTAAATAAAAAGAATATGTGATCCTAACCCACGCGGCGTCGGCGCCGGTCTGTAAGGGATAGTAAAATAGTTTTAGTGCTGATTTTACCATCTTCGGTTAACCTATTCGTCAATTAAATTTTCAGTTTTTTGACAGTTGTTCTATGAGTTTGACAGTTCTTATTTGACAAATAGTCTATTCGGGATTTTAATAACAGGTGGTGAAACCAGCCCTTAATTTAATAATGACCGTAAGGTATGTTAAAAATGTGTAAGTGGTATGTTAATCGTTTGAAATTCTCATCTGTGACTGCACAATAGCAGACATCCACGGCATGGTTCATGCGCCCACTATAATTATTATTCTCGTGGGAATGAATAACTTTTCTGAGGTTAAAAGTTGCCTATGTCAATGTCCTTTTCCAAACTTCAATTTATAGCTACACACCAAAATTAATCTAAATTGATTCATTGGTTTAATCCAAAAACCGTAGCAGAGAAACAGCATGACTTTCGAATTTTCAACATTAGCAATGTATTACATCTATTTAAATTTATTTCATATTTTTATTTTTACCGTATAGAATGACTGACGGTAGATCACGCTTATCAGTACTTTTATATTTATAATTAATATATTTTTATAAATATAATATATATAAATATATTATATTTATAAAAAACGAAGACTTGAAAAAGATGCAGAGCGACTAAAGCAAGCAGGAGTAATTAGAGTCCTTTTTGAGAAAAGGTGAGCTAAACAAGCCGTCGTCACCCATACCAGAAACTGATGCTATTTCTGAGAATCCGTTTAAACCTCGAGAAGAACATACGTCCGATTTCAATATAATCTGTGAAACTGGTGCTTCTACTTTTGGGTCAAGCGCTATTGCCGGTGAAGGTGCTATTAGAGATGAAGCTGCTATTGCAAGTGAAGGTGCTATTGCAGGTGAAGGTGCTACTGCAAATGAAGCTGCTATTCTAGGTGAAGATGTTATTGCAACTCCAAGTGTATTCTACAGAATCAACATCTATTTTTGATGTCAACCCAGCCACGTGGCCCAATAGATTAACAGATGTAGAAAGAATATATTTGGTAAATAGAGGTTCTCCAGACCCACTGTGTGAATTTATATTATATGTAGAATATATATTATAAATAATTAAATCGGAAATAGAACACTGGAATAGATTATTGTTACGAATAAAAATGGCTTGGTTGTTCAAGGTACTAAGGATAATCTGTATCAACATAATTGGTAATTTTTTAAACCTAGTAGATTTGTTAGCCGAATTTGATTCCGTTATGCAGGAACATGTGCGCAGAGTTTTGAAAAAAAAGGAAAAACAACCCCCCCCCCACATCACCATGGTAGCGGAATTAAATGTTAGACTACCCCAGGAGGGTACCAGCACCCCTGGAGAATCCCTCGCTGAGCATCCACGACTAAGTTACTCTACTCCCGAGCATGGGTGCTCAGGCTGCCCCGCGTATTCTGGAGGGGGGCAAATTTCGCTCAAGACTACAACTGCTCGGGGCAAACGGAGCAACAAGACTAAGGCGACCCCTGCCACGCTATCCCTGAATTTCAGCAATATCAGGGGAATTCACTCTAATCTAAACGCCGTCCACTACCATCTCGAGACGACGAGGCCGGCTCTGCTCTTTCTGACTGAGACGCAGGTGTCCTCTCCGGCTGATGTCTCGTATCTCTCCTGCCCGGTGTACAAACTGGAACACTTCTTTGTGCCTCGAGCTGGAGTTTGCGTTTACGTCAGAGAGGACATCTGTTCTCGACGCCTCGGCAGTCTTGAAGGTTCGGATCTGTCCATCATATGGCTACGCGTAGACAGCGACGACCATCCGCGCGTCTACGGATGCGACCGCGTCCAAATGACTACAGATTCTTTGCTACAGCAGATCCCCTCCGCAGGGATCGTGATCCTTGGCGATTTTAATGCCCATCACGCCGAATGGCTTGGTTCACGTTTAACCGATCATGCGGGGAAATCTGTTCATGATTTTTCTTGGCATATGGTCTGACACAACTGGTTACTTTGCCCACGCGGATTCCAGATGTGGAGGATCATGCACCTTCCCTGTTGGACCTTCTGCTGACCTCTCACCCGGACGGATATCAGATTTCCGTCGACGCCCCTTTTGGGTCTCTGGAGACCATTGTTTTGTCCGGAGTGTGGTGCCACTCACGCTGAAATCAATCGCAGTAGCATTCTGCAGGCTGCCACCGTGTTTGGCACTATATGTCAGTTGATTGGGATAGGATGCGGTCTTTCTTTGCATACTACTCGTGGGGGCGGATTCGCTTCTCGCCGGACGATCCCAACGTTGTTGCGGATTCTGTTGGTGCCCATCGGAGACAAATTTCAGCCGTGGTTTGGTCGCTCCTATAAAATAGCATCATGCTATAAGCAGGAGTGCTACCAAGCTTGGGCTGACGCATCAACGTCCCGGGGTGTAAACACCAGCGCTCTAAAAAAGAAGTATAATTCCACCTCCAGGTCCTTCAAGTCATTTCCAAGGCAAAGTCAGAGCACATGGGCAGAATTTGCGAGAAACTAGTTCGTCTTCCTTCTGGAACCCGTGCATTCTGGTCTCTTGCCAAAGTTGTCCAGGGGAATTTCTGTCAGCCATCTCTGCACAAGGAGGACGACTCATTGGCCCATACCGCAAAGGAGAAAGCCGATCTGCTAGGCTCTTTCTTTGCGTCCAACTCGACTCTCGATGACGGGGGGAGTACGCCGACGACTATCCCGCGGTATGAGTGCTCCATGCCGGTAGTGCAGTTCACACAGTGCTCGGTCGCAAAGTACTCCTCTCCCTGGACATCCACAAGTCGAGTGGGCCTGATGGGATCCCCCAATTGTGCTGAGGACGTGTGCGCCAGAGTTGGCACCGGTTTTAACGCGTCTTTTCCGGTACTCCTACTCCCTAGGCGTAGTCCCAAAATCATGGAAGATGGCTTTCGTCTAACCCATCCCTAAAAAAGGCGACCGTTCAGACCCGTCCAACTACCGGCCTATCGCCATCACCTCCTTGTTCTCCAAAACAATGGCATCCAATGTAAACTGCTAGTTCATGAGATACCTTGAGGATCACCAGCTAATTAGTGATCGCCAATACGGTTTTCGCCGTGGTCGATCAGCTGGTGATCTTCTCTACCTAACTCATAGATGGGCGGAGGCAGTAGAGTCCAAGGGGGAGGCATTGGCCGTTAGTTTGGACATTGCAAAGGCCTTCGATCGAGTTTGGCACAAAGCGCTTCTTTCGAAGCTCCCTTCCTATGGGCTTCCCGAGAAATTGTGCAATTGGATCACCAGCTTTTTATCAAAGATGTCTCTGTCTGATCTGTGCGAATCTAATATTTCTTACAAACTTGTAACTTTTTCTTTAAATACCGTTTCTGCGATTAAAGCCTTTTTATGTTTTTAACAGTATAAACTATTGTTTTTTATGTCAAAGCATTTTTAGTAAAATTTTCCTAGGCGTTTCTTCTAAGTGTTGGCTCGTACTTGCAGTGGGAGTCATAGACCAGTATATAGAGATTTGTGAGAGGGACATTTTTGAGGGTAGGACTAGCCACTATCACGTCCGTGGAGAGTATAGTAGCCAAACAAAATATGCCGTCGTCCGTCCGGCATAGTATACTATCCAAAACGACACGTTGTAAATATTGCCATCTGGTTTAAAAATGCCGAAATAAATGAACGTTGTGCTTGACAAAAATAATTATCTATGAAATACTTCACTAGAAATAACAGAAGAGGGCAGTGTTTAGTGTTTGGGTGCATAGAATTAAAAATTACAACTTCACTCGACTTGTCACGAAAGCGTTTCGGAGCACCAGCGATTATGTCGTAAGTATTTCGTATTTATTTTTACTTAATTGTTAGATTATTGTACATCAAAATGAACTTTAGAATTTGTACTTTGTGATAATACTTAGGCGATAAAGTTTCATGTACTAAATCGGCTCTAATTTGTACTTCAAGATATTGTTGTTACCAAAACAATGACGTCTTTGTAATTCACAGTCGCTAGTCGTCTTGTTTGTGATTGATTTACGTATTATTCAGTGAAGTAATAGTGATTAAATTTCAAATAAACATACTCATACACTTTTTTAGTTAAACATATATTAAAATGTCAAAGGATTCACAATTAATATCAATGTGTTCTTCAGGATTTTTTGTATGGTTAGTGCGGTATCCAGGGACGTTACAACAAGTTATAAATAAGGATCTCTAGAAACGAGCAAGTGTGTTTTCAATATTTAATACTGCTTGATGTTATCACGTGTTTTATTTTTGTTGTAATATATTAATTGTATTGATTCATCTTCACACTTGTTTAGTGTTTCGAAAATCTTATATACACTTTTATACTTATATACTTTAAACCTTATACACTTTTACTGTATTTTAAATTTTATTATTTTTGTATTTTTGGGTTTTGTACTTTTTTGTGATTTTTTTTTTTGTTCTAATTATTTTAAAAGTCAACAATTTATTCCTCGGAACTAATACAACACATTACGAAGTTTTTGTTTCTCCTATAAAATTTACTTTGTTTAATACGATTTTTTCGGGGACGTCGATTTAGCAAATAGTTTTTTAATTTTATCGTTTTAAGCCAAAATTATAAATCATTAAAATATTTTATCACTTATTCGTATTTCATTCAACCTTATCGTGTATAGAAAGCCTTAGACGGACGGCCATCTTCTTCAATTTGAACGACGAGCGACGACTCGGCAATTGTCAAGAGACTGCCGCAAAATTGCAAGGAGAATGTATTTTGATTTGATTTGTTTAGCTACTTAGAAATATTCATATATCAAGATATTAGCACCATATTAAAGGGAAATTAATCTAGTTTTTCTTATTAGTGTTGTGTTGGTAAAAATTATTATATTTTATGCTTACGAAACAAATTTATGGAAAGCTTTTTTATTTTCCACTCGGGAATTGACATTAAACCTTATTTTAAGTATAATAGATTAACACTATCGATTTTTAAATAGATAAATTTAATCTATAAACGTTTAGCTATTCTTATCTTTGCTGTAGCTATTATATTTTAGCTGTTACAAAAGTTTTTATTACCGAGCACCGTGGACAGATTCACGCGGCTTGAGGCGGCGAGTAGTCGGACGTTTGACGCATATTTACCAGCGCGGGGCGGACGTTAGAGTGGCTAGTTGGGGCTGTGTAAGAAATTTTCTTATATTATAGAATTCTTATATCATAGAATTGTGACTTTAGAAACAACTAATCTGGGGGCACGGCAGTGCCCCCGCCAAGTCGAGCAAAAAAGCGGCACGGCCGTACCATCTTATCTCGAAGCAATTCAGGTCATTTTCGACCCCCTATAACTTCGTGGTCAATAAAACTAAAAGCCTGAATTTTCAGTAACCGAGTAAGCATTGTATAGATATGGTATATTTCAAATTTCATTCAATTTGAACCAGTAGTTTAAGAATTGTAACCAGTTAAACTTTCTTAATTTTGTCACTCACTGACTGACCGATCATCAAAACTCTAAGGCACTTTTAGCAGACATAGAAGCTTCAAATTTAGAATGCAATTAGTGTTTAGAGTATAAATCAAGAAAAAACTAAAACATTTGTTAATTTCTGTCCAGGTTTCTAGATACACTAACTGCATAAATAACTTTGTAATCCCTTATAAATATATAGAATTACAAAGTTACATTTGCAGTGAATGAACCAGTGTACTTGTATATGTATTACAGGTGTACATAGGTACGTTGTTGGTACTCAAGAAGTAGAAGGTACTGGAAAGGTAAAAAATTAAGACTATCTTATATACAAAAAGAAATGAGATGCAATTAAAAACATAACTTGTAAAAAAAAACTAAGTCTCGCAACTCAGTTCTTCTACCGTAAAAAGTTGTGAGATCCATGTAATACCAAGTCGGTTAATTTATTCAGTTCCTACTTAAGGGTCCTTCTGTTTTAAGTTATTACGTAATTACCTAACCTAACAACATTTTATAGTGACCATATCAATTTTAAAAGTCTTTTATATTTTAAATATATAGATTGACTTGGCAATCGCATTAATCAATCTAATTTAATATAATACGTATTACTTGTGAGATACATTATAGTTTCATGCGATGGCCAAGTCAATCTATATATTTAAAACATAAAAGACTTTTAACATTGATATGGTCACTATAAAATGTTGTTAGGTTAGGTAATTACGTAATAACTTAAAACAGAAGGACCCTTAAGTAGGAACTGAATAAATTAACCGACTTGGTATTACATGGATCTCACAACTTTTTACGGTAGAAGAACTGAGTTGCGAGACTTGTTTTTTTTACAAGTCATGTTTTTAATTGCATGTAATTTTCCTGAACCTCTAGCTTCCTTTGTTTCGGTGTTTAGATGTTGTACAATCTTTACGATCAGCCCAAATATATATATACGAAATGAATTTGATAGATTAATGCTTTTGTAAACTTATTGAAATTCTAAAATATGTATTTTCAAGTAGAATGATATTGGTGTCAAAGGTAATAATAAAAATATTTAATCTAAATACAATTACAGCCAAACACTACCTCCCACAAGTTCAAGGTTAGTACTACATTGTCGGCTAACCTTCTTTTATTGTTAGGTTGGAGTATGAAATATCATTTTGCAAAATGTTCGGGTATCCAAGATTCATGGTTTCTACAAGCTGCAATCCAAGTTTGCCGCCTAAGAGGATCTCTTGGAAATATGTAAACACAAACCAATAATAGAAAATTTATTACTTTTTGTAATACTTTATTGTAAAATTCAAATAAAAACTACAAACCGGTTCGGCTGACAATCCCGCACGGTTAATTAACTTATCGATAGCTAAAATTGTGGCGTACATCACTATAGTGCAAAACTTTCGGACGCAGTGATACCCGTTTATTTTTATAAAAATTGCACACTTTTGCTGCGAGGTAGCAAGTTTTGATTTGACTTATTTGACCTTTATTTTGTAAAATTAAGGTAAGAAATTGAGCTGAATATATAAATCGTTTAACAAAATCCACTACACATCTATATGTAATGATTATTATTCATCACAAACTAATTTAGTTATTAGGAAATACATTTTCGTTAATATAATTAACTTGTGTAGTAAATTATATTTATTTAAAAATAGATTATTTTTCACTTTATGATGGCCACACCTGGTATTTGACGAAAATATTCGGAAAGTACGAGTTTTAATGATAATATTACTTGAATATTATGTTAAAAATACTCACAGATGAAAAGTCACGTTGTCCTTTAGTGGATTTGACGTTTTTGATTACTTTTTGCATGTAAATACATTGCAATTTGGCATTTTGTCGGAGCTCGATTTACTGGCACGATCACTTCGGAATGGCGCACGACGCGGAGCAGCTAATTTTATATAATGAGCATGAGTCGGACTCTCGTACCTTTTACAGAGAGGTATGCCTTGCGATGCCGCCTCCTTTGGTTTAATACTCAAAGGAGAAAGACGTGTTATGAACACTACAGGTGACGTAAGATGTAAAATAAACCTATTATTTAATAATAGAACAAGTATATTTTTAAAATAAAACAATAATACCTTTTTTGGATCACAAAGTAATCAACCGAACTGTCCATCTTTTGGCCATACAAAAGTCATGAATATTCACATTAATAATATTTGCAGGCAGTTTAAACTATAAAATGACCATCATTTAAATATCATTACGTCTTGCATTTGATTTTTATTAGAACTATATTTTACTATAATACTCTATTATAATTTATATTATTAGAACTCTAGTTCTAATAATAATTCTTTACTCAGATCTTAATCATAATAATCTATGCTCATATCTGCTCATAAACGTAGTGATTGTTTCCTCTTTGTCTGCTTGTCTACTCATTTTGTTTTATCTGTGGTGAAAGGGTGAGTGAACTGCCTCATTGTTATTTATTGCATTTGCCTCTAATAATACATTAATTAGCCGATTTACGGGTACAGTGAGTGCAATAACATACATAACAGGCCGTGACAGCCATGCCGATGTGAGTAATATCAGAGGTGTGGCGCGTCTTAGTGGGGCGTTGTTTGGTTGATCGAGTGACATTAGTTATACGAAAAAATATTCCTTATATCTCGATATAAGATGACCGAGTACAAGTTAGTTGTGGTAGGGGCTGGTGGCGTAGGTAAATCTGCATTGACTATACAACTGATACAAAACCATTTCGTAGACGAATATGACCCTACAATAGAGGATTCTTATAGAAAGCAAGTTGTGATTGACGGTGAAACTTGCCTTCTGGATATCTTAGATACGGCTGGTCAAGAGGAATACTCCGCGATGAGAGATCAATACATGCGGACAGGTGAAGGTTTCCTATTAGTTTTTGCAGTGAATAGTGCAAAAAGTTTTGAGGACATTGGGTCATACAGGGAGCAAATCAAGCGAGTGAAGGATGCAGAGGAAGTACCGATGGTCCTTGTAGGCAACAAGTGTGATCTCCAGGCATGGGCAGTGGACATGACGCAGGCGCGAGAGGTAGGCATTGTTTACTATTATGCTCAATTCTACTCATTTCCAATATAATTTTTTACAAATGTAAACAACAACTCTTGTATGAAAAAATCAGGAAATAATACCTGATTTTTTCATAAAAGAGTTGTTGTTTATTATAGAATATTGATTTAGTCGGAATTTATAAAAATTCCGACTAAATCAATAATCTATAATTATTCATTTATAATACAATTATTAATTTATAATACAACATTTTCTAAAGAATTTTATATGATAATCACATTGTTATAGTCTCGACATAAAACTGTATTGTTATTGTTTTTAACAACCAACTTTGACTTCATTCAGAATTTAAAGTAAGGAAAATAATGGGACTTTAGTTGAATTACTCAATAATAGTAAACAATTGTTCATAATGACCTTCAGACAAAATTATATAGTCTCAGTAACTAGTTTCAAAAGAGACTAAACATCTGTGTCAGGATTATAGTGCATGAGTTTATATAACATAAAAAAACCAGATCAACTCACACTTCTGTAACAACCTATATACTGTTCCTGCTGCTAGATAATCCAAGCGCTCACTACGAACAATCTAATTGTCACATTCACGTTTGAGGGCTCACCAAAACTGGTTTTTCTGTTAAGATGGCCCGTTTCAGAATGGTGAATTGCAATTATGACTTACGACGATTGGATTGTAAGTTATTGTTTAAAACATGTGCATACCTATACTATTGTTACTGTTTGTAAGCAGCCAAGGATTAGATGATTGTTTTGTTTGTATGTGATTGTACTATTGCCTTACATTATGTGTGAGGCTGTAACTTGCGGACAAATCTCACGGTTTTTGCAAGTTAATCCATGTATCATTCTTATGTTATAAATAAATTTAAAAAAAATTTACTCTATTCCCTCAACTAACCAGAGAGAGATTGCAGGACTAAAAACAGAGGATTGCAGGACTAAAGACTTGACTTGAGGTGAAGTACTTCCAACTTCTTAATTTCTGGCTGCTTTTGAGAATTTTTAGACTTTAGGGACTACATGATTAGCAATTTACTTACCACCACTAGACCAATGAGGCAGTCAAGCACTGTGTTTGTCTTCTCTTAACTTCTTAGATATACATATGAAAAATGGTATTTTTGTATTAAAAAATACACATATGTTGATTATTGTTTTTTTGTTGATTATTGTTTAAAATAATGAGGAAAAGCTTCTTAAGTGGGAGCTACATACAGGTAAACAATGTGTAGGGCAGCCCTTCCCCCCCCCCCCCCCCCACTAGATAGAGAGAAAAAATGGTAGGAAATGCAGGAAGTTGATGGATGCAGGTGTCTCAGGACCATGCTTTAGGCATGGTATTCCTTGGGGGAGACCTATAATAATAATATAATTGCTGTTCCTTAGAAAGTTCATGAATTAACAAGTAACTTTAACACAAAATACGGAGATATAGTAGAAAAGGTTAGGTAGGGTAGCTTAGGGGCTGAGGCTCACCATTAACTTTACAATACAATACAATACAATACAATACTCTTTATTGTACACCAACAAAACATTAATAAATAATAAAAAGAATAATGAGGGATAAACAAAAGGCGGTCTTATTGCTACATAGCAATCTCTTCCAGACAACCCAGAAGAGGAAATAAATAAAAATAAAAATAATGGGTAGGGTGCACTAAATTAGACAAAAAAAAAAAAAATATAACTTATATACTATATAATGACAACATACTTAAGGTATATTAGTGACCATAACTAAGAGGAGAAAGAGAGAGGAGTTAAAGTGACAAATAGTGTTCCTTAATTTGTTTCTTGAACACATTTAAAGACTGAGCACTTTTAATGGACTGGGGTAAGGAGTTCCAGAGTCTTACTCCAAGAACAGCAAAAGATTTATCATAAAATGTCGAGGAGTGTATAGGACATTGGAGCGAAAGGTTTTCTTTGGACCGTAAGGAAAAATCGTGACAAGAGCTAAGAAATTTAAAACGTTCTTTCAGATAGGGAGGACTTGATACATTAAATAAGACACAGTAGAGCGCAGAAAGTATATGAGTATTCCGACGAAGACGGATTGGGAGCCACTTGAGTTTAGTGCGGTATTCAGAGACATGGTCATATTTACGAAGCCCAAATATGAACCGTATACAGAGATTTTGGAGTCGCTCAAGTTTATTAAGTTGCTCCTCGGTGATATCAAGGTAACAAATGTCAGCATAGTCGAGGATAGGGAGTAGCAAAGATTGTGCAAGCGTAATTTTGGTGGAAATGGGTAAAAAGTAGTTAAGCCTTCGGAGTGAAGCATAAGCCGCAAACATTTTTCGGCTCACTGCATTAATTTGGGGTGTCCAAGACAGACTGGAATCCAAAAAGATACCTAAATTTTTAACTACTTCATTATATGGAATAAGAATACCATTAAATACAACGGGTTGAATTTGACATTTTTTAATTTTGGAAATAGTTCTTGAACTCCCAATAATTATAGCTTGCGATTTTGAAGGGTTAACCGTCAACCCATAAGATCGTGTCCAGTCGAGAATAAAAGCCAGATCCTTGTTGATACATTCAACAGCTTTGGCAAGATCTTCGATGGTCGTTTGTAAATATATTTGAAGGTCATCTGCATACAAGTGGTAGAGAGAAGATATTTGGGATGTAATCGTATTAATAAAGATTGCGAATAAAAGAGGAGATAAGACACCACCTTGTGGAACGCCAGCTACGGTATCAAGCCACGAAGAAAGTCTATCTTGGACACGAATACGTTGCCGGCGCCCGTGCAAATAACTATGAAACCAGGAAATTGCAGTTGGAGATATGTTAAGAGAACGCAGAATCCCTAACAGGATATCATGATCAACAGTATTGAAGGCATTGCTGAAATCCAGCAACACCAATACTGTGACTTGATGATTCTCCATACCGTGACGAATGTCGTCGGTGATTTTTAATAACGCCGTAGTCGTACTATGACCAGATCTAAAGCCAGATTGGAGAGGACTAAGGATGCTATTTCTTAAACAAAAGGAATTAATTTGTTGTTGGACAAGGCGTTCTAAAACTTTGGAAAGGAAAGGAAGAATTGAAATAGGACGATATTCAGAAAAACTTGAAGGATTTGTTTTCTTAGGTAAAGGTATGATTTGAGCGTCCTTCCATTGGGAAGGGAAAGAAGATGAGGATATGGAAAAGTTTAAGATATGGGTTATAATAGGTGTTAAAAAGTCCAACAGGGGAATGATCATTTTACGACTGACGTCGTCACTTCCGACAGCGTCGGAATGGATAGAGAGTATGTGTTTCCTAACATCACAATCTGCAAATTGCCTAAACACAAATGGAGAAAAGTCAGGAGTGGGAAACGATGAAAGTTGAGTAAGTGTTGCTGATTTTGCCATATTGTTCAGGCAAGAAACGGAAGAAAAATGCTGATTAAGCAAATTTAAATCCACGTTATTTGGAATAGGACATGAACGAGTTTTCCCAACTCCAATAGACCTTAAGAAGTTCCAAATACGACATGGATCTTCGTTTTGTACTGATTTATGGATGTGGCGGCGTCGTAAATCTCTACACATCTTGTTGCATTGATTTCGTAGGAGTCTGTACTTCTCCCGAATCCTGTCATTCTTAGGATCTGACTTGTAACTCGACTTTGCACTATTCTTCCTGCAGATTAATCTTTTAAGATCTTCGGTCAACCACGGAGCTGGAGGATGACGTATTCGCACTGGGCGGACAGGAGCATGAGCATCATAAAGTTGAACAAGAAGTGAATTAAACAATGCTACCTGTTCGTCAACATCACAAGCCTTCATTATAACGCTCCAGTCCATATTAGCAGCGTCTTTTTGAAGCTTATCCAAATCCATTTTCTCAAAATTACGCTGCAGAAGTATCCTTGATTTGGCTTTGGGTGGTCTTATTTTATAAGATAGAAACAGGAGATCATGATACGAAAAAGCATTTGCAGCACATTGACCAAAACTATCAACATGGTCAAGAGAAGAAACGATAACCAAATCAAGGAGGGATGGGATACAGTTAGGGAAAAAATGAGTTTCAGAGAGAGGAAGGATATTTAAATTGGCTGCTTCTATAAGGGACTTAAGCCGGAGAGATCGGGCATCATTCTTGAGAAGGCAAGTATTAAAGTCGCCCATTAGCACTGTATGTGTATATAATGGAGTTAACTCTTCAAGAAGGTTATCCAAAGTAGTAAAATAGTCCACTGTGGAAGAGGGACTATAAAAAACTCCGAGAAGTAATTTGTTGTGCGAAAGAAGTACTTCAACAAATAAGTATTCTGCTTCGTTCTCAGCTTGAGATGGAGATGATAAACAAACAATAGAAAAAGGAATATGAGCACGAATGTAAATGGCAACACCACCACCACCTCGCGCAGTTCGGTCGTTGCGTATTAACTGGAATCCTGGAATGGAATAGGATATAGAAGGAAGACATGGCTTTAACCATGACTCTGAAACGAGAATTGCGTGAACATTATCACTTTCAAAACTAGCTAACATATCGGGATAATGAGCCGGAATACTCTGTGCATTTATGTGGACTACATTGAAGTTTTTGATAGCTTGAGAAAAATAGGAGTCAAGGGTCTGTTTTAATGGAGGAATGCTCTCAAAACTGTCGTCATTACTTAATACATCAGACGCAGAAAAGAAAGGGGAGGAGCTTTGAATATGATCACTTTCACCAAAAGACATGTTATCCTTACAAAAATATTAAAAAAAAAAAAAAAAAATTCAAACAACTGTAAATTATTAAAAAAAAATACTAATAACTATAAAAATTATAAACTAAACCTTTTAGTTAAATTTACTACCTACCAGCATTTACAGAATAGAAAATAATGCAAATATTTAAAAAAAAAAAAAAAAAAAAAACAATCAAAAAAGGTACTACACATATGCCATTCAGATCATATTTGATTGAACAAAAATATATATATAAAACACAAGGTGCTTATGAGAAATAACTGAAACCAC